ACTAGTTGGCAGCAGTGAGCCAGCCATTTGGCTCCTCTACCTCTTGAGCGCCAGAGAGTAAGGGTAGCATTAGCACTGTGAGTAAACATTAGCTTTTTTTTTTCAGAAAGAGGTTTTTATTTAATAGAACTTTTGGAGAAAAAAATCACAATATATCGCAATATATTGCCTTGCTTACAGTATCGCAATATATCGGGATATATCGTATCCGTGACCCCTCTGTTATGATATGTATCATATCGCCAAATTCTTGCCAATACACAGCCCTAGTGTTCATGCAGGAAAAACTAGTCTTACTTTAGTATTTATGGAATAAAATCATTGTTAGTTTAGTTTGTTAATGGTTCTCTGCATTATATATTCTCCAGATTGTATGCAAATTACAATTTMTTTTCATCTACAATAATTATTAATATCAACAATCCTTTCCTCTCTGCAGGTACTTTAATTTAAAGTGCATGTGACATCAAATTTTTGGAATAAATATGAATGCATATTTGAAAAGATAACATTGATAAAATATTGCAAATAAAACTTCAGACCTTTGAGATGAACAGTTGTTGAGATATTTGCATGTGAAGTAAAAGGAAGTGATGCCAAAGGGGAATGTCTGCATGTAAACAGCATTGTTACAACAGCTAACAACACAGACTGTAGAAGAGATTTTGATTTTTCTTTAAATTATTTTGAGTTTTGAGAGAGAGATGAAGAAGAGTCAAAGTTCAGTAWTGTTTCAATAAACAAAGACCAGGAAGTTCCTTTTCTTAGAGTCCCCCTTTGATGTCACTTCTTGTTTAACTTTGAGCCAAGTTCAAAAGATAATATGCCGGTTATGTGACAAAATGTGTAAAATCATATGTATTACACCCAGTTTCTTAAACATATTCTCTTTGTCTTTTTGTATTTGAAGGCTATGCATGTCACAGGCACTTTAAAGTCTTCTCATAATGTTCTGAAGTTTTTAGATTTAACTGCTCACCATATTAGACAAAGGCAAACATCCTTTTTAATATTTAATTGCTTCAATCTTCTCATCTGAGGGTCTGTCCTCCTGTATAATTTAGATGAACACATTTAGTGCACGGTTCTGGGAGAAATGGGTTTTTCACGCCTCCCCGAGCAGCCGAGACATTCCACCTTAAAAACCAAGAAGCTGTTTCCAGCATGGAGAGACAGAAACTTTAATCTGGTTTTATTTTCTTTACAGTAATGAATGAATTTCCTGTGATATTGTCCTGGCTTCATCTCCCTTTTGACGAATTGCTGAATGTGAATATATACAGTCAGCAGAGTTTTACAGAGAGAACAGGACAAGGGGGGTAGTAATAGTTTTAATAAATGTTTTATTTTCTTGAATAAATCAATGTCAGGTAACTAGTTTATATTGAAGAATATGGTTTGGTATAAAATGTGTCTAAGAACATCAGGGATTCTATTTTAAATGCTTTTCTTGAGCCATTTTTATTCTTTTTATTTTTTATTTTTTGTCAGATTACTATACATATATATATACAGTATATATATA